GGTCTTAGGATCCAATCATGGAACCGCCATATGAGATTCCAGTCATGACGCTAGTCCATGTGACAATCTCATGCGGGTCAATCCAGTATTCCGTTCTCCAACGAATACCTATGACTGTGATCGTATCCAATACCTATGATCATCTATATGATCATCAATCACACATCATACTAGCCTTATTATGTCATCATTCCCATAATGACACAAGACTAGGGAGTTTAGTATCATTCATAATGATACATGGATTTCATAACACATCTAGTATACAAGAACATGTAATGAATCAAACACTCTCATAAAACCTGTGGAAAGTATCAATACATCAAATGTATCTGAATAAAGCTCATAAACAGTAGTACATCATAGAGCACTAAACCAACACAAATCTCGTCTTGACTGTCTATTATCCCCACATGACTCTTAAACGTATGTGATTAACATCGTTATGATCATCCATTTAAAGACGACATTTGACGCAGTCAAGACACACTACTTCTCATTTCAAAGACTCTAGACATCTCAGGTCTGAGAATCTAAGAACGAACTGCTACATGAGATTCAAGTCATGACTCGTATCCATGTGATAATTTCATGCGGGCCATTCAGTCACTTGTTCCCAATGAGTACCCATGATTGTGATTCACATCCAATAAGTATGATCATGATCATCAATCACACCTCATGTTAGTCTTAATTTATCATCGCTCCCACGATGACTCAAGGATACCGATATATAACAAACATGCAAAACATATAACGAGAAAAGTAATGCATTTATAAACCAATGAATCAATACAATAAATATTCAAATGACATATCATGGATCATCCTAGAGTATCACAATACCAGCCTCCTTCGATGTATATACATCCACCTGCCCAAGTCGATGTCGTCATGCCTTAGCTGCTTTTTTATCCTATTTTCTCCTGGGATGCTCCCTCCCATTCATCTGTTCCAATCGTGTAGGCTCCATGATCCTCATTTCTATCCAATTGGTGTGTAGATGCTCATTTATTTTTGAAAATCAATCAAAGAATGAAACAATGCGATTTACATACCTAACATTTCGTAAATATCTAAGAATGCGTAAAAACCAGGAGAAACTTATGTTATAAGATATAAGAAAATATAGTGTTATCACTTATTGAGGTAAACCAAGACTAGAAACCCAAAACAACAAGGACCCTAATATGTGTCTTCTCTTACAATTATTTTCATCTATATGTTGACTGACATATTACAACAACAAGATCCCTAATATGAAACCCTAATCTTTATTTTCTCATAATGAAATATCTTAAGTCTAATGTACGCACTCGTATCCACGTTCTATATAGTAAACTACGCAGTAGATTTCGTTCTAAAATCCTTAAACAACATGTAATAAAAACTAAAACTCAAACTTGGAATAGACCATCTCTAACCCTTGTTAAACTCAACTTTGGAACTCTAGCTAACAACGAAAACACCACAAACACTTGCGGATTAATACTTGATAAGCCAAGAACATCCAAATGAATCAATTAGAGTTTAGGATTTAGTTCTCTCTGGAACTTCAAGGAGAAACACTCTAAAAATATATTAAAAACAAATTTTTGTTTTACAATAACCAAAACCAATATTTAAAACTCTTAATTAAGTCCAAAACTATGTAGTTTTAAGAAAATTCATAAAAGTGGTCCGCTTCGTGTCATATTTAGCATGATCATTGTCAAGACTTTGACAAATGAGATGGTCTGGATTAGAACTGAAATGAGCCATACGGCAAGTCTATAAGCAAAACTCGTCGAAAGTGGAATGGTCCGGACTAAGGTTGGCACGGGTCATGCCAGATTTCTATAATTCTGGTATGATTCGTGTTAAAAGTGACTCGAATCGTGTTAGATTTATGAGTTTCATCATCCTTCACTTGTAAACGGCTCATCCAAGTCTCGGTCTTGCTCTCGTGCTCGTTCTTAATTACTTCGTGTCGTCTTGTACTCTTCATGAACCATGCACACGAACGCGACTTTAGTCTCTTGGTCTTCAGATTTCGTTTATAAATTAGATGTTAATTTTTATCATAAAAATAAAAGTTATGAAATCGATGACAATTCTCAACATTGACTCTGGCGAGATGAATAAATTAGATGTTAATTTGTAACATAAAAAATGAATCGAGGTTTTAAATAAATTGCTCTTAATTTCGTGAGCTGAGGTATCTATTTGAAATCTTTTAACATTTGAAGTATCAATTAGATAAAATGGTACTTATTTGATACATTAAAGTTGATATATTTATATGAGATTTTTTCTATTTTATAATAAATATGATATAAATTATCTCATATGATTTTATTTACAACAAATTGATAGATGGAATAGACTAAAAATATGAATAATCAACAAAATATAATAACATTAGACTACCACCACATGATCATGAGTTTTTTTTTTTTTGAAATATGATAGTTTTCTTTAAAATATTATCATATCTAATTATTTCTCTCTAATTTTTTTTAACAAACTTCTCCTTTTTTTCAGAAATTCATATTTAAAAGGTCTAGAATAGAGTGAAAAAAATGAAACTATTAAGCCATTCATTTCATTTCTGATATTAAAACTATTTTTCAATCCTCTTAGTAAGATTAAGGTTTTCTCATGTTATCAAAATTTTAATTTCAAAATATTTTAACATCAAGAACTAGGGATGTCAATTGTTATGAAGAATTTAATAAAATGATATATTTATGATTAGATTTTGAGTTGTATTAATAAGGATATTGGTCGAATCTCATCTTGTATTACCCTTACCGGAAAAAAAAATAAGGATATCGGTGGGTTCGTTATGTAATTTTTGTAAACCACGTATTAGCCCATTAATAAAGTCATAAAATTCAGTACAATTTATTTTAAAAGTGTGTAAAAAAATTTAAAGAATAAATTAGAGCCGATTCCTCGTGCTTTAACAAATAAGGGTTGTGTTTGATAAAATATCATTCGATAAATGAATATCAATTGATTAAATGCACTAAGAGAATCCACAATATTTTTTTATAATTCGTAAGATCATCGAAATTTCGACCCAACTATATTTTCCAGAGAATCGAAAAGTTCATGTGAATGCATCTCCCCAAATGAAAATTTGGACTTAGAGAAAGAGATTTACTTCTTTTATTATCAGTTGAACCACTTAATCTAAATTCTTTTTTTGACGAGGGAAACCTATATAAATGTCAATCTTAGGTGAATCACAACATATTACTTTAGTTTTTTAGATATTGTTATAATTATAATAGTTTTGAGTTATACATATATTAATTTATATGAATCAAATTCAATCTAATTTTCTAATATGATTTTTAAAAATTAAATTTATAGAACTTGATTGGTTAATGAGATAAAAAAAATTATATAGGAATCAGAATTTTTTGATTACGGGAAAAAAAAGTGAAAATAATAAAACTAACTCGATCATAAATATGTCCATTGGTATTGGAAACATAAATTTACATACGAATCAGAGATGTTTGGCAACACGTTATTTATGGATGAAAAAAGTGTATTTATTCATTTATTAATTAATTAGTATAATTAACGAAAACTAATGTAGCAATATTTAATCGATGTGTGATTCATCTTAACTGTATAATTATGAAGGAGGCGAGCGTTATTATCTTTGTAATCAGTGCATGTAATCATTGGTAGTCAGATGAAAAGTGTCTCTCTTTTTACAAAACAAAAAACTTTATGAATTTAATAATAATGCATACATTTATTTCATCGAAAACAAAAAGTACATTTCGAATTTATAATTATTTATCGAAATTGGGAATCTGTTTAACGGATTAAAATTTTTATTTTAATTTATATTTTTGTTGGGAACAAGACAAATATGCGCAATTCTTGTGTTCGGTCACGTGGCAGTCATTCATTAGAATTACATATCACGAGTCCGGTTTTCGTTTTATCCACCGAAAGACTCAACTATCTAAAACATTTGAACCGCGCTAATTTTATAGATTAATTTACATAGTTTTTATTTGATGAAACAATTGTTTTGAGTTCCATTTATTTCAATTTATTCAGATTAAATTCTTGAATTTGATTTAGTACGGATATAATTAAATATGGGTTTAACGTTAATTTTCTAAATATATATTTTTGGTTGATTTTAGATTCATTTTGATTTGATTAATTCGATTAACAAAAAAATTGAATTAAATTAAACTAAAATGGTTGTTCTTGTAAAATAAAACTTAAATTAATAAAGAAGTACAAAAGTTTTCATATGAACTAAAATTAGTGAAACGATGGTTACCCAAAATAAAAATTAGGGAAACGTTAAAAGCACCAAAATTAAAATATTTTATAAATTTTTCGCTCGTCAAATTTATTTTCAAATTTATAAAATATGTCATTATAATTTTAAACCTTGCAAAATATGTCATTATAATTTTCAAACTGATTTTTGGATCAATATCGTCGAGGTTTTTTTAACACTAATTAACAAAATTAAAAATTATAATGACATATTTTAAAATTTTGGGAATAATTTGATAAATGAAAATTTTAATAATCAGTTTTTCACCATTTTATAAATTCAGAAATATTTTACTTTGCTACTCATATTTAGATCATCATTAGGAGCTATATCTTTTTATGAAGAGAGAAAAAGTGGTTTAAAAGCATAACTAATATTATACACATACATACGTAGGCACGTATATGTGTGTGTATATATATTGCCACATTGATGCCGTTGTATTCGGCTAAAGATATGTGCTAGTGAAGAAAAGAAAAAACTTTAAATTAAGAAGTCGATATGGGCTTTGGATAAAGAATGATGATGTGAGCGTGGGCTCAATATGCTTATCTGCAAAAGCCCAATTCACATTCATTAGGCCGTTATATGGGCTTTCTAATATACAATCTACATATTTTTAGGAAAAAAAAATTACCGTAAACCTTTTTCGTCATCATCATCATTATCATCATCATCAACATCAACGTCATCATCATCCAAAAACAAACAATCAATGTTATCATTACGACATTAGAAAACATTCACAAATTTACATTGAAACCCTTTTTACACCACGAACCAATCATCAAACCCCAAAATCATCAATTTTTTTTATTATTATTATTTTTTTTAATGTTTTTGTAACAATCTTCTTCACATTGTCAAAGCAAGACATTTCTTGCTTGTTCCTCTCTTCCTCCTCCTGTATAAAAGCTTCTTCAAGAACCCAAAACCATGCTTCTTACGGCTCTTCACCATCCCCATTGCTGTGATCCCATCTTTCTTCTCTTCGTCTTTTGTGATCGAATACACCCTTGGAGTGTACACAATCAATGCATTGCCATCCATGCCATCATCATCATCATCACCATCATCATCATCATCATGGGGAACCGTATTGAATAGCATTTGGTCTCTGAGAGAAGATCCTTTGCCTGGAAACTTTGCGATGTTACTTCTTTCGGAAGGCAAACCACCGAGGTTGCTCGATAAGGCGAGTGCTTTGAGTTGTTTCCGAAGGTTCAGAATCGTTCCTTGACACTCCGCTAACTTGGCGGAAGCCGAGGCCATGTCCCGAACCTACAAGAATTTGTAATGAATCAATTGACTTCCAGTACGGAAACCCGAAAATATATTAGGGTTTTTGCTCACATTCTGTAATCTCTTTCTGCTTTTCTCCATTGGATTACCCGCTGGATCATTCTTCTGCACACTGCAAAATGCAAGAAAAAAGACTTAGATACATTGATCTCGTAAAGAACGAGGCGAAAAATGAGTCACTGAAGCAAGATTTCGGTTCTTGAACCTTTCGAGCTGTAGCTGAAGCTCGAGACAAGTACCCTCTAGTTCTTCGCAAAAGCTCTTTCGGTAATCAAGCTCAATCTCCAACGAGGACAGCTTCTTTTCGGTCTCGTTTAGTTTAGCCCTCGTAACACTGAGCTGTGTATCGAGTTCTTCGTTGATTGATTTCTCGATTTCCTTGGACTCGTTCAACGTTTTCATCTCAGTCTCGAGTTTTCTGATCTTCTCCTCTGATTCCTCCAACTTAAGTCTGAGCTCTTTGCTCTCGAGATCAATCTTCTTTATCTCATCCTTCAGATTCTCGTTCTCTTCTCGGAGATCTTGTTTTCCGCTCTCTATCTGAACCGAGTCTTTTTCGCCAACCAAAGATTCGTCATCTGCAGTTAAATTCGGTGTACTGAGACCCAAATGCCTCTTGATCTCTTCCTTAGTCATCGAGCCTGATTCCGGGGATTTCCACCCGATGCAGAGAGGCGTAGATTCTGCCTCGGGTTTCTTGTTATCTTTAGAAACATCCATACACCCCAAAGCAATCTTGATATCTTCTAGTAGCTCTTTTACGCCCCGTTTCGAGATCCTTTGTTGCTTGGATAGAGTGCTTAGGATGGCTTGAATCCAGTCGAAAGGCCGATCATCTTCGTCGTCTCTTGAATTCTTGTCCGCAGATACGATAGCAAACTTTTCCATCTCAGCGAAATCTTTCATGTATACACTCATTTCCAAAGATCCATGGGCTCTCTGTCCCCTCGAGTTCCTGATTTTTTCGACTCTGGGTTTGGAAACTAAGGCTTTGGGAAATGACTCGGAAGAGCTAATGCCATCTTCGCTTCCGGCGTCGAGCTTTCCAACCCGGGAGAGACTCTGATTCTGCCTGGGCGAAAGTTTAACTTCTCTGCCATTCTTCAGAATGATCTCCTTGAGATTCTTGTTTTCCTCTCGGATATTGTCTATCTGCTCCATCAACAGATCGTGTTGAAGGTTTCGGGTATGGAATTCGTCTCTCTTGGCGAAACCATTCTGGATATCCGTGTTCCTTCTTCTCGTTTCCATCCTCCGTTCTTCTGCATCACTCGTAAACTTTGTCTGCAATAACATTGTTGCTCCTCCTGAGAACTTTTTCCGGATCAAAAGGCGTAGCCTTTGGCATTCGGCTTCTAACTCGACAATCTTGTTCACACTCTTCAATTGCTGTTTATGAGCTGAATCGATAGATCGCCGCGCATATTCCATTTCCTCTGTCCTCACCTCAAGATCCTTCTCAAGAAGGCGAAACTCATACCTCAGGAACGCGTTTTCTTTCTCGGCTGAATCTAATCTTCCCCTCAAAACTTCAAACTCAGATTCTAGCATAGATTTTCGATCGTTTAGGGTCTGCACGAGCTTTTCTTCCGCCGCAAGAGAGTTTCTCAGCTTACGATTCTCGCCGGCTAAGCCTTCGACCCTCCATTTCATCTCGGTTAGACAATTTCCGTGCAGCTTCCTCTCGTTCTTGCTCTCAGCCGAATCACCGTCGTTCACATCGCTTACTATTCTTCCATGATCTTTAACAAGAGACTCGAGTTTCTTCAAAAGCTCGTCCGACGCGTCGCCCGAAGGCGAAAATTCCCAGCTTGTCTCGATTTCGTTACACAAATCTTCACCGCCACAAGCATTTACGCGACGATCTTCGGTACGAGAGTCCATCACGACGGTAGAAAGCTTCTCGTTGAGACTTTTCCGAGCTTTCTCGGGTTTATCTCCGCTTCCCGGAGGAACCATACGTGCCTAAGAACATCTGACGATCAATCATCGGGAAATAAAAAAACAGCATATCGAAGCGAGAAGATCGGAACAAAAACCGACTTGTGGAGTTGGGAATTTCGTTGTTTTTTTACCTTTCCTTTGATTCTCCTCGAAGAGGGGTTTACCGTTTCAGTTGCAGAGTTCATCTTCCTCTGTTTCCATGAGCTTGTTTCCATGATCAATGGCTCTTCAGATTTCATCATCAACGCCAATGAAATCATCAAATGTCAAGAAATAATTCAAAATGAATCAAAATTCATTCGAGGGTACAGAATCAAAACCCAAGTAGACATGAGGATCAACCTCATCTCTCCTTTGAGCATTCTAATTTCGGATGATCTTTTACAAAAAAAAAAAAAAAAAATAATCGGATGATGAAGAACTCGATAACTGAAAAACAATCAATAGGGTTTCTAAGTTTTAACTGTGGGGAGCATAAATTGCAGTTCCTCATATGATAATACAACCTTAAATTTTCTGATAATCTCGTTGATTATATATCGGTTCTTCGGAAAATCCTCTGTTTGTTATCTCCTTTCAAAATGTTCAGATGAACAAATAACGAGATCTTAAATCGGGTTCCAAAATTAATTACAGCTTAAGTGAAAGAGGAAAAAGAAACGACCCACCAAAAAATTAAACAGAGGAAAAAAAACAGGACATGAATGGGATGTTTTGGTTGTAAGATTCTTACGTGCTCTTATGTAGTTTCCGAGTTGATGAAGCTTCTGAACAATCTCTGCAACAAAGAAGAAGAAGAGAGAACCTAAAGGTACTGGAATTATGAAGTCATGAAGCCACTATGTATTTGATGTGCGTTATATAAATATAAAAAAAAGTTTTTTTAATCATATCATCAAAATATATTTCATTTAATTTCACTGTTATGTTATTAAAACTTCAGATATAAATGGCTAACTGTCGGATAAAATTGTATGTAGCAATGTTTTTCGGTGTTTGCTCTTTTTATATATAGTGATAAGAATAAAAATGTTTATAAGCTGTGAAACAGACGTATTAGCTGTCACAAAATCACTACGCAGTTTACAAAGTAAGTATTAGAACTAATATTTTTGTATACCATATCCAGATTTTTCATTAAGAAATTCATAAACAAAATAATTTCCAATTTGCTAAAACTTTGTTTTTCGTGAATATTTTAGATTTTAGTTGGGTTTCGATTTAATTTCTTTCACATTCAATTTTTTTTTAGTAAAAGATAATTAACACATTCAAAATTTTACATTTAAAAAAAATTATATATTCGATTTTTATTGAATTTGGTTAGTTTTTAATTTTTTTTATCAAACTCAAATTTATTAAAAAAAATTTATTTTCTAAAGAGATTTTCTTTCTTTTTTGTGTTGTTATTTCGATTAGTTTGAATTTAGTTAATTTATTATAAAAATATTAAATCGACTTTTAAATCTCACACAATTTTGATTATCTATTATTTAGTTCTCCATCTAAGTTGAAGGATAAAAATACTTGAACACATGGGTAAAAAGGAAAAAGAAAATTGACATAATAAAAACGAAATTTTTCTAAAAGGTGTCTCGAGAACATTTTTTTTTCTTTGGTTGGTAGAATGTAGAAAGCTTTCATTTAAAAATCATCATTAAATTTGTTTCATTACAACGACGTACCACTACTACTACTAACCCCTGAAAAAGAAATATGCGAAAACCCAGAGAGAATATATGCAAACTAAGGCATGAAACTAAATTAGGACCATATATTATATATTTACACCTAATGATAAAGATTTGGGAAAACGACAAGGTCTTAGCCTAGTGACAAAGGACAATGACATTTCTCTTGTAGCTTCTTTCTATTTATTTTTTTCAAACTTTGTTTACATTTGTTTAAGTTATATTTCGATTTAATTGTTTTTTTTTTAATTTTTAGATTTTATAAAAATTATTTTCCTAGACTTTCTTCTATTTTCTCTATAGAAAATCATTTCATTCGATTTTATAAAAACAAATTGTATTACCTAAACTTTTATAAAAATACAAGATAAATAACTAAAATATAAATTTTTTATATAAATTTCTGAATTTTTTAAAAATCCTATATAAATATTTATATTTTTGAAAATTTTCTGAATAAACCAAAGTTCAAATCTTTTTCAAACAAAAATAGTAAACACTGATTTTAGATTTATTTAGAAAATTTTTAAAAGTTTAGGTATTTTTGTTTAATTTTTTAAAAATTTAGATATTTATATGAAAGTTTTATAGTTAAGATATTTATTTAGAATTTTTATACAATTTCTCTTATAAAAAAACTTATTCTTAAAAATTTCTCGCTTTATATATCCGTACAAAGATAAATCAGTTTATTTCTTTAATAAGCAATGTTATAGATTTGTCTATTACTTAGATTTGTAGATGTAATTGTTCTTAAAAACCTATTATTTATATTTTTATGAGAAATTAAACATTTTTTTTACATCAATCATGCAAAGCAATCCATTAAAATAGACAAATATTATTTTGTCTGCCCCTTTTCCTTATTCAACGAGGGTCATAGGATGCCAACGTCCTCTCCACCGACAGTTTTTACTCTTACATGACCAATTGCTAATGATGCCAATTTTAAAAAAAAAATAAGAAAAGAAAAGAAAAGAAAAAGGCAAAAAAAATGAACATTAATAAATTCATGTAAAATTAATAAATGAGAAGAGACGTTAGGAAAAGCTATTGGAGGGCCCCGGAGAAGGTTTTAATTATTCTATATAGAAACAAAAGAAAAGATTATTAACTGTGGAATTATTTTATGACACCGAAATAATATATTATTTTACAATTTAGGGATAATAAAAATTAATGGTTGGTTGGTCCATTGAACTATTATTTTCTTTCCTGAATATTTCATTTTGTTCACTCCTTTAAAAAACACTAGATTATATTTCTTTGTATATACAATACAAAGGTGATGCAATTCCAAAAAATTGTTTGCATCTTCTAAAAATGCTAAGTTTAGGTAATTCATCTTTAATATCCTCTAGAATGCTAAATGTAGGTGGACAAAATTATCCAAAAATTGGGTATTCACCAACAACTGAATACTTACCTTTATTTAACTTCGAATTCAAATCTCTAAATACTCATGAATTCGAATCTATAGGTACATGAATAGTTTTGTTATAGATAATTATACTCTATATATTTATAATATTTTCAAAAAAATATATTTATTTTGAATTAAAAATTCATCATTTTTCAATATTCTCTCAAATACACTAAACTCATTTTTATCTCTCTCACCAACTCTCTTCACCTATACTTTCACTATTATTCATCTATATCTAAAATTACTCCTTTTTCTTTTAAAATTTTGAAAATCAAAATTAGTATTTTTTTATTAAATAAACTTGATTTTTTTTATATAAAGAATAAACGTGAATATGGATATTGTCCCGAATGTGCGTATTTCGATTATTTGTAACCCTCGAATCTAAGTATAAATTTTAAAATACAATACCGAACTTTTCGAATATAACACTTGATACTCCACTAGGAACCGTGTATCTAGTCGTGTTTGTTGAAGAAAATAGAATAAAAGTTTATGGATACATCAATATGGTCGAGATTAACCCAATTTGGATAGTTCAACCGGTTAAATGGAGATGTAAAACGTTTGTACTGTCCCGAGTTCGAACCGAGTTCGAACCTCAAGTTGAGGGATGAGTCTATATTCTAATCACATGGTTTGCTGCCGCCCCTGAGATTAGTCTGAACCTCGACCCATGACACCCGATTATTTCAACAAAAAAAACCCCGAGATTACAAGTGAAGCCAACTTGCCATATTTGTTAGTTCTTGAATGAAGCTCACGGACCACATCTTCTTTCCATCCCTAGACAAGATTTGGAGCATAAATGCAGTTCATATCAAGTGGAAATCACCATTAGATCACGGGATTGGATTACAGAACCCGTTAGAGTCTAATCAAGGAAGATATGATAAAGTATGTAATAACCCAACTAAATTTCGAGACCGAGGTCTGGGGAGATCGACGGACTGGGTCTCGTTCGGTTGGAACGACCACGGATGCAGTGCATCTGGACCGGGTTATCAAACCGTGTCGAACCTAACGAGGACGTTTAGTTCGATCCGGAATTCCTAATACAGCACAGGAAAATGGGATTCTATATTTTCACTACGAACACACAAACACAATTTTGTCTTCCTTGATCAAATTACATTGTTTCACGTGATATATGTTAGAAAACCTACATCAAACTGGTCATCAGTAGAACCGACTAAAAACATTATTATATATCAAAATCCAAAACGAATAAATAAATAAAAAACCTGAAGACAATAAATTAAATTGTATCAAAAAGTACTTCTCAAAACAAAAATCTCAGGCGAAGTATAAACCAAACAAAACCATGTTTCCCGCAAAAACTCTTTGTTTCCGACTCCTAAACAAAAGGAACATAAAGTCAGTTCCGAAGGTTGAGGAACTCGTTAAGATACGATGTTGCCGTTAAGAGACAGAGAAGCTAACTGGTCGGCGGCACCGGCTGGTTGATGAACACTCCTCAGAACCTCCATTGCTTCTGCGACTTTAGCTTTGAGAGCTTCGGGTGACTCCAGCAAGTGAAGCACTTCGGTCTGATCCATCTCGAGAAGCATCCCGGTGACCTTGGCTGCCGAGTCTGGCTCGAGTTGTTCCACAAGCGGGTATAGATTCTCTCCCAGCATCTATTAGTTATTGAAAGGTAAGTCTGATTCCAACATAATAAACTCGAAAAAACAAGCAACAGAAGCCTGTTTTACCGTTCTCTGTTGCTCGGGAGATGCATTAGCAAGTGCAGACGCCAAAGCTCCAATCGGAACAGGCTGAGAAACAGAGGAATCACGAAGAGGAACGGCACCAGCCATATCATATGGAACCGAAAGCATACTTGGGGCAACACCCGGCATTGGAACTTCGGGAAGGCCACCACGTTGTGGATAACGGTACATACGACCCCTCGGGATTATCTGCCAAGGTTATCGACGTCGCAAAACAGTTAGGTAAAATGGTGACAGGTATTAAAAATGCACAATAAATACATTCCGGATTCGATATCAATCCATGCATTTTGGTATTGATCAGTAACTCTACATGATTCATGCAGATTCTATGAAATTATTTTCCCTTAAAATGTTGTTGCCATCTAAAGTGTCCAACCAAACATGGGAAAAAGTCATGGCGAAAAGCAATAAAACCTGTTGCTGCATCATAGGAGAAGGCTGCTGAGATTGCTGAACAGATCCTCCACGTCTTCCACCGGGCCGTTGCTGCTGGCCTTGTTGAACCATTGGCATGAAGAAGTTTGGCATCGGAGCCCCACCTGGTCTCATTCCGGGGACAAGTTGTTGTTGGAATCCAAATCCAGGCTGTCCACATGCCATACCAATGTAATTAATATCTCTTACTCGTCACAACTTGTCCGACATAAACTAAAAACTAAGAATATCATCGAAACTTTCCTTATATGGCTGAAAACCCATAATTGTTCATCAAATAGAAAATTGGAAACACTCCTAAGAACTCCAAAAGATTATAGAAAACATGAATGTTTAAGCATGCACCGAGGTTGTTATACATCTCAATGATATAAAAGAAGTGCTTCCAGAAACAGTTTAGCATCATTAACAAAAGAGAGCATTTCCCAATCCGCTTTTACGAAGCAGCTAGAGTTTCAGAAGGTAACCTTGCAGCAATTTATCGGGACGATAGTAATTGCTAGTGGAATAATATCAACGAGGTAATTATATAATAATTTGATAAAACTACTAAAGTCTTTGATTTCCTTGTACATTTAGGCATGGTCCATCAATCGTCAGCAATTTGGCACCGTTAGAGAGAAATTGGAATATCGAAAAAGGTTAGATACTACCTGGGGAGGAATCATAGCCGGAGGTCCTTGACCATAAAACAGTTGTTGACCAATTCCAGGACCGCCTGGCGGATACATTGGCATACGTGGACTGACAACAGGTGGCATATTCACGGGCCTCAGTTGCGCAAACTGAGCCTGTAAATGTTAAGATTTATTCATCGTATTAATTGAAAGCTGGTAATCAACGAAGCATATCAGATTTTGAAAAGGATTCAGGTATTACTATTGCAAAAGCATGAAACATGGAACAAATCTCTGAGCATATTACATACTCCACAAACAATCCCGTCCAAACTGAAATAGGAAAAGACTCTAGAACGAAGCAGAACAGAACTGTTTATTTCCACCTATGGAGCTGACAGAAACAAAATAGAACATGAAACATGTCCTTCTAAGACAAACAGGATCAAGTTGAGATACCTGCAGCCTAGCCTTACGATCTTCTTTCCGCTGAGCTAAAGCAACATATAGAGGTTTGCTAACAACCATTTTGCCATTCATCTCCGCAATCTGAACCAATACAGGAAATAACACGAGCATTACAGTCCCTATCAAGTTCACGAAGAACTAAGCATTCAATGTGTATTTATATTGTATTATAATGTAGCTGCAGCTATGGGCATGCATGCAATGACAGCGCTTACATGCAAGAAAGCATGCGCGCATATAGAAACTTACAGCTCTAGAGGCTTCTTCAGGCGATGAAAATGAGACAAAGCCAGATCCTTTACTAACTCCACTTTGGTCTCTCATGACCTGTCACACCCAAATGTAAAAGAAAAATCTATTTAAATAATATCAATAGGCTGATTAACTAGCTAACATGCTACATTCTATTACTTGTTCATTTTCAAACTGCAGTTAGAATCAGTCAGTAAGTAGGAAAATAACTTGGATTTCAAACAAGAAAAAACCCAAAAGACTGCTCATTGTGGTTTTACTAATGGAGGAAAAGAAAATTTGAGAAACAATTAGAGCAATTTGTAAACTTTGAGAAAGAAGCTTCCCAGTGACTGTTGCAAACCTTGTACGATGTTATTGTTCCGAAAGAAGAGAAAAGCTCCTTGAGTTTTTCATCTGTGATGCTATCATCCAAGTTCTTAACATACAAGTTCGACCCCTGAGATCTGTCAGCAGCCTCCTTCAAACTTTGCTCGAACTTTTTCTTCAGTTCCATTTCTCTCTCCGACTTCTTCTGGGCTTTCCCAACATACCACTCCTTCTCATCAAATTTCTTTCCATTTAGAGCCTCAACAGCTTTGGCAGCATCATCGGGATTCTCAAAATTGACAAACCCAAAACCTTTTGATTTCCCTTCACCATCTCTCATGATCACACAACTGGTGATCAGTCCAAACTCTCCAAACACTTTCTTCATCTCTTCATCGGTCATGGACTCAGAGATACTCTTCACATACACATTGTTAAACTTAGCCTTCTCAACGAATGATTCTCTTTGCTGCCTGTGAACAAAGGGTCCGACATACACCTGCTTATCGTTCAGTAGCATCCCATTCAATTGCTCTATGGCCTTCTGGGCAGATTCTTCATTGTCATATTGCACAAACCCATAGCCTCTTGACTGACCAGAGGCATCAGTAGCAACTTTGCAAGAGAGGATGCTCCCGAAAGCCGAAAATGTGTCATAGAGAGCTTTGTGGTCGATAGATTTGTCAAGGCTCTGAAGCATGTACACACAACGTCAGATAGCAAGTCATCAAAACAAAAAATCTAATCCCCATGTTGTTCCTTCAGACACGATTCATTTGTCTCAATACACTTTTTCCCAGCTGCATGTGCTAAATTTTCCCTAATGTTGATTGTGAACACCGCACTGATTTAAAGATTTTAACTCTAACTTGATAGCCACCAGTGACTTATTTAAGAATATATTTCCCATTAAGATTTACTTTAAAAAGGGAAGGAAGCTTATGTGTGCAAGTAATTGAAGGGGAATGAATATGACACAAGAGGAACCATGCAAATGGAAATTGATAAGTAAGCTGCATGTACCTTGATAAATATATTACCAACTCCGCTTTTACGGGTGCTTGGATCACGGACCGAATACATAACTCTAATAGCCTTTCCGTTTAGAGCTATAAAATTCAGTTCATTCAGCGCCCTTGCAGCTGTCAAAAACAATTACCCAAAATCAGCGGAGATGCGTAAAAAGGAAATTAATATGCACAAAAACTAGAATTACTTAACATAAATGCCACAAAAAGGAAACTAATACTTCATCGGTCCATCCTAGAAAACTTAGCTACCATTTTATTCTGTAATACGAATAAAAGATGAAGATTGGCAGCCATCAAATCCAAGCATGATTATCATAATTATCGAGCATGATTGACATAACTGCTTTGGTGATTCTCAGCCAGTTACCAAATACCGAGTTGTCAAGACTCAAGACTTAAACCCTAGCTAAATCTTGAGGGACAGCTAAACCAAGACAAATCTAGTTCTTCAATAAATTTGAGTTACATGGCAAATGGGAAAATGAACTTGGAATCTATGCATGCTACAATAATCTCAGCTACACATAGAGGAACGTAGCTCATAAGTTTTTTCAACATTAAACTCTCTCCTAATGTTGACAACAAAAACTCAATAAACAAAACCAACCATTCGAAGGCATAACAATAAAGTCATCCAAAATCCAGCAACATAGAATCAAGTCACAGAATTTAGAATTTGGCCTATTAAAGAAAGATAGTTTATCTGAATTAATATACGGAAACACATAATATTCAGGAAAAGATATGATTCTTTTATACATTACATCATCCGTTCACCTTCATCTTACACCTAAAATTGTCATTTCATTAGACGCCATCCTTCCTACATTTCTTGGTATGTGTATGTACATATGTATACATCAACATACACCTAACCCTGATAACCTTCCACATTCATCTAGTTCACACCAAAGAGCCAATGCAGAAGAAAAGCTACTTAGCCATACGTCCATGAGATCTCTAAATAGAATTTCGATGATCCAAGTAGTAAGTTCAAACCCCCAGGGTGCAAAACACCTAATTCAGGAAATAAGCTAATCATCAAAAAGGAACACAAATTTACTCATCTCCAATTGTCAGTATAGCTAACATGATGCCAACCCAAATCAGGGAATACTAAGCTTCACGTGTTTTTTGTGAAGATGAGAACTAAAAAAGGAAAACAAAGCACAGGAACAATGAATTAAGCTGTCTAGATCATATTAAAGTTAGCCCCTTCTGCATAATCCTACGCAATTAATATTATTTCGCTACCATCCTCCATGAACATATCAGTCAATCCCATGAAAAACATCATAAACCCTAAACCTACACCGCACGTTCAATCGAACATAGACCCGCTAACAAAACCGAGCTGAAGATTATGGGAAAACCCTGATTCGGATTAAATTCAAATCACAAAACAATCGAGAAGCTGATTGAGGAGACCAACCATCCTGAGAATTTCCGTAGTTCACATAGCCATAGCCGAGAGATCGCCGAGTCGTCATGTCCCTGCAGACACGAACAGAAACCACCTGACCCACTTGGCCAAAGGCCTCGAAGAGCTGCGAGTCCGTTACTGTCGGGTCCAGATCGCCGACGTACAGCGACGTCGTCCCCATCTGCCCCGCTGCCGCCGCAGAAGCGGCCACTCCACCGTTCGCATTCTGACCCTGACCCTGAACCTGAGCCATCCTTCACAACAATTGAAAAAAAAACTCCTCCGCAAATTCTTTTACTGCTTCCCTGCTTTGTTTTGGGAAGGGAGGGTGTTCCTTCTTATCCTCCCTCTCCTCTGATTATTTGCTACGGCAAGAGAGGGTATAAAAAAACGGTGTCGGAAAATAAAAAGCAAATATTTCGGGGAAATGAAAAAGAATGAAATCTGGGCTTTTGGGGGTTTTTCCGCTTCCCCTTTTTTGTTGTCTTTTTTCCGAGGAGGGAACAAAAAATCGACGGTCACCGCCGGCGAGGGCCACTCCACCGTTCGCATTCTGCCCCTGCCCCTGAACCTGAGCCATCCTTCACAACAATTGAAAAAAAAACTCCTCCGCAAATTCTTTTACTGCTTCCCTGCTTTGTTTTGGGAAGGGAGGGTGTTCCTTCTTATCCTCCCTCTCCTCTGATTATTTGCTACGGCAAGAGAGGGTATAAAAAAACGGTGTCGGAAAATAAAAAGCAAATATTTCGGGGAAATGAAAAAGAATGAAATCTGGGCTTTTGGGGGTTTTTCCGCTTCCCCTTTTTTGTTGTCTTTTTTCCGAGGAGGGAACAAAAAATCGACGGTCACCGCCGGCGAGGGTTGTGGCGGCGAGTCAGAAAATCGGCCGAGTCGGAGGCCGAGTGATCGGACAAAGCAGGGAAGACTGCAGAGAGCAGAACTGATGAGTTTAAATACGGTGTCATAAAACCCTAAGTTTTGTCTCATGGAGATAACGAAATCTCAGCCGTTGGTTCTGGTCGGATGCCTTTCTGTGGGTCCCACATTATCAAGTGCTCTCTACGAGAATAGATTTTAAAAATAAAAAACAAAACAAAATTTGATTTGCGGTATAAATAATTAATATTGTAATACATTTCAAATACATAAAAAATAACTAGCTTGTATTTAAAATTTTTAATTCATAATAAAGACTTAATATCGTATTTTTTATGATTTTGTTGGATTGTTATGAATTTATTTTTTAAATTTTTTTAACACACCCTAAACATACACAATCGATTAAAATCATTATTTGGATTCTACTTGAACTTGTAGGTGATGTCTACAATCTTTTACGGACGATGTCGTTCTAAACCGTATAGACACGATGTCATGTAGAAATGGGTTTTAATAATAGATTTTCTGAAAAAATAGTTAAATTTTGTAATTGATAATCATATAAACATAAAAATAAAAATAACATACATTATTTATGACAAAAATTTTAATATGTGTGATGACAATCTCCGTCGCAAATATTAATTTTATTTATTTTTTAAATTTATTTTATTTATTTTCGGAATTTATGACATAATACAACGTAAATTTTTGTCGTAAATACTAATTTTATTTATTTTCGATGAAAAATTTTGAATTTTTCACGGTTTTAATTTTTTTGTTATTTTTATCACTTTTATGTACATTAGGTATATAGTGATATTATTGATCTCTTGTTATATTTCATGTAATTATATGCATTTTTTTGTTTATTTAGACTTTATGAATTGAACGTTGATCACGTATATGAATTGAATTTGGTTTAGTTATTCACAAAGAGATTTGGGATAATTAAACTGGAATTCATTTATAAAATAGATTCAATTAATATTTTGAACACATATGATAGACTTACTAATCAATACTAATTCGATTTAGGAATGATAAAAGCGGACGTTAATGTTTCTATTATGGACGTAAAGATGCAGAAGATCATATGAAAATCTTAGATAGAGGATAACCATGATCCGTATACATCTAGATTATAAGTTTGAATTTCTCAAACTGAAACAAGAACTGTAAATCAATATAAATCATTTGAAACAAAATTCTATACATAGGTGAAAGCTCGAACCTATAGTATTTTTAGATATATTTTTTCCAACCAACCAATCGACTTGCGTCATAGGTAAAATTAGAATCGATATATGCAATCACTGTGTTCAACTCTATTATTACAATCGATCCGTATATTTGCGAAATCGGTTTAGTATAAATTTTATTATTTAACTCAATCCATTCACCGCACGGCCAATCAAGAAGAACGAATAAGACGTCGTTAAGATGACCTAAAAATGAAGCCTCAAGCCAAAACACAGAGTTACGAGTCTTACGACAATAATGAACTATGATTGAAGTCCGGTTTACGCTAAACTGAACCGAGGTGAGACCCTCGGAGAGAAACAGAAGTTTTACTCTCCGCACATTGAACACTTATGTTTACACATTATTATCCCCAATCATTAATATATATATATAATAATAAATATTATTTATTGTTGCAACTTGCAACTATTAAATCTCTTTTTCCTTTTTTTTTCATTTATAGGTTAAAATCAAACATTCATCCATAAGACATGCATGTGGATTGACTTGAAAACATTACAAGTCTTCGCTGTACGCTTTCCCCAATGTCTTTATATAACCTTGAAAACCTTATCCTACAAGTAAAAACCACACCACAAAAGCCTTTTATCAAACATGAGCAGAAATCATCCCTCATTTCCTCTCATCCTCTTGATTTTGACTCTCCTCCTCCCCTCCATTTCACGTCCCCATCATGCCCGAGCCACCGCCGACGTCAACAATGACAGAAAAACCCTAGAAATCATCATCGGCGGCGGCGGCGGCGGCGGTGATGAATCTCCGCCACCGTCTCCGGAACCCGAGAACTGCCCTTTGCCCCCGCCGCCGCCTCCTTGCCCTCCTCCTCCCCGGCCACCGCCACCGCCCAAGCCGTCACCACCGCCACCGGCACCGCCACGAGTGACTCGGCCGCAGCCTCCGCGACCGCCGCTGAGCCCATTTATCAGGAAAGCTATTCCGGTGATCCAGAGGTTTCGAGGGCTCATCGAATGTGATCCAAAGGACATAACCAGAACATGGAATGGTACGGATGTTTGCGCAGATGACAAATACGTTGGTTTCGACTGTGCTATTTATCCAGGAACAAAGGATCTCGCAGTCGCAAGCGTGAGATTTAACGAGTTTAACTTCAGCGGCAAGAATCTGCGTCTCGATAACTTTCTCGACAAGTTAGAGGAAGTCACCATCTTCCATGCAAACTCGAACCAGTTCGTGGGTTCAGTTCCAAGAGTCGAGAACTTGAAGTACTTGTTCGAACTCGATCTCAGTAACAACAAGCTGTCGGGAGAGTTCCCGAGCTCGGTTCTTCAAGCGAAGAACTTGACTTTCCTCGATCTGAGATTCAATTCGCTTTCGGGTTCGGTTCCTCCTCAGGTTTTCAATCTCGACGTCGACGTTTTGTTCATCAACAACAACAATCTCGTTCAGAGGTTGCCTGATAATCTCGGCTCCATCACCGCTCTTTACCTCACTTTCGCCAACAACAGGTCTTACAACGCTTTATAATACATGAAATGCGATTGATATATGCGTCTATTGGTACGAATAATTATACAGAAATACTGTAGACTTTACGTAGATTAAACCCTAATTATTCGTGTAAAAGAATATTTAAGTGCATTGATAAATAATTAGGTTAGACCCTAATTATGGGTATATATGTGTTTATTCATAAATAATTTGGACAAATCTAAATTATGTTTGCAATACTATCTTATAGTTGATTTGTTTGCTAAAGTAGATAATTAAATCTTGGATAAAATTAAGGTTTAAACTAAGTGTAATAATATGTAGTTGGTGGTATGGTCCACAAATAATTTAAGCCATCATAAATACCTAATTTTTTTTCTTTATTATTTTATATGATGCGACAGATTCACGGGTCAGATTCCCAGCAGCATAGGCAATATCAAATACCTACAAGAAGTCCTTTTCTTGAACAACGCATTAACCGGTTGCTTACCGTACGAAATCGGTAAACTAAACCAGGCAACGGTATTCGATGTCGGGTTTAACCAGTTAACCGGTCCAATACCGTACTCCTTCGGTTGCTTAGGCAAGATGGAACAGCTCAACTTGGCAAGAAACAAGTTCTACGGAGCCGTACCAGAGATTGTCTGCGATCTTCCTAGGATCCAAAACTTGTCTTTATCATACAATTACTTCACGCAGGTCGGTCCAAAATGTCGGGAGCTAATAAAGAAAAGGGTTCTCGATGTTCGGATGAATTGCATTCTCGACCTTCCGAATCAACGATCCCCCGATGATTGCGCAAAGTTCTTCATGAGAAAAGAGTCGTGTCCAAACCCCGAATCGGTATTTTGGATGCCTTGTAGCAAGAGCCCATACCGTCTTAAACCCGGTAGAGGTAGTCCTCCCGGTTTACCTTCGCCGCCACCTTCGGTATCTTACAATGCTCTTAATACGGACCGCGTTCGTAACCTCTAGTCATTTTGTAATGAGGATTGTGAGAAGGCAAGTGTAATTAAGTTGTCCACTCTGGTCGGTGATTTGCAAGTGTTGATCCAAGTTTCGGTAATGATAAGTTGAAATAATGTCACTTCTCTCGTCAATTTACATACAATACGTCATTGTAACTTTTAGTTGGTAGTTCATATTGTAATCTTAATCCGTATATTTCAAGTACATATGATTCAACCGGTTGGTGCTTGCTTTTATTTGGGATTTAATGAGGTTAGGGATAGAGGGTGGAAGTTTTTATTGCAATATACAACTAAACCAAAATCGCAAGAAAATCACCAGAGTGTTTGGGTAGTTCAATCGATGAAATGGAGGCTTAAAGCGTCTGTTCCGCCCCGAATTCGAACTTCCGGGTGGGAAGGGAGCACATTCAAGTTCGAATATTAAATCTAGTTATTTTTTTAAGCAATCTTCTTGAGTTTAAGGAGACATATCATGATATAATACAAAAATATCATAAAATAGTTTCTTTTTTTTTTAATGAAAACAGATTCTTTGATGCCAATCCTTGAACTCATAACTTCATATATTTATCAAATATACGAATGAATAGAAATCGACGTCTTCACCCACTTAATTAGGAAAAAAAAATCCGATTTCACATCACTACCGAATACAATTAATCAACTTTGATATATTGAATTATCCTTTGCAATTTAGAGTTAGTTATTATTGCTTTCATACTTGTGAATGACAAATGGAGGGTTCAAGTGGTGGGCAAATTACAAATAAAAATTTCCTTTTGCTTTTTTTTTTTTGAAGTTTTCCAAACGGATTGTGCTATCAAAAGCTAATAATGTTCTTCAATAATTTATGGATCGTTGTCGGTTCGACTGTTACTTTCTCTCTAAGGCACATAGTGTCAATTCCAACAAATTTCCTTTTCTTTTCCTTGTTCTTTTCATATCGAAACAATGAGGACACACCAAATGCCGTCTGAGTTTGATTTATTTAAATTTTTTTTATTATATTTTATTGGAGAACATATATTAAAATTCTAAGTTTCTATCTTTTCTAAGATTAGTTCTTTGTAGTATTATGTTTGTTTAAGTATTCATTTATATTCTACATTTGAATTGGGTTCGAAAACTTCATTTTGGTAATTTCTATTATAAACATTTTGTCCTATGTTTAGTTACAACATAATTGATTATTCAAATTATTTTTCATCTTAATCTAATATAATATTAGAGTCTTTCCGATTTGAAGGTTTTATTTATCGAAACTTAGTCATCAATCTAATATTTTTTTTTTGTCTCTAATCTTCAAAACAATTGAGGCTATATGCTAATTGGAATGCAAATCATCAAATTCCAAATCAAATAAACAAGGAACACCAATGTGAATTCACATAAAATTTGATTCTCTACAATTTCTAGTAAAGTTTCTTTTTTTAGTTCTAAAAAAAGCTGGAAAATGATACAAAGGTTTACATGATTAATTAATAATGTAATAATTTTTAAATTTAAAAATTCATTGGATCTAACTAATCTCCTAAGATACGGAGATAACCTGTGTACTACAATTAAATTGTATGTTTTCTTATTCAAACATTTTTTTTGGGTAACTGGGTTTCCTGAGCCGATGCCCAGACTAATCTCAGGATCGGGAGTCAGCCATGTGATTTGAATTATGCACTCTCTCCCCGGTTTGGGGTTCGAACTCGGGGCGGGACATACGCTTTGCCCCCCGTTTCACCGGTTGAACTATCTAGGTTGGGTTCAAACATAAGTTAATGATAAAGATACCTTTACTTTTTTCGATCAGTTATACCATTCGGCCACACGGATCGGATAATATAGCAATGTTTGTTTGTTTGCAGAACTCAAACCGAATATATCGAGACAAAAGCTAAATTAACTGAGTCAACTCATACAACTCGTGAGCAGCTGCCTTAACCAGACTGGGTCTCAGACCGAAGTCACCTCTTTACAACAACTTGTTGAACGTTGTCTTCTTTTAATAATAGAGTCGGTTTGGAATTACATTGAATACGTAATACAAAAAAAAAAAATGTGTCTGCTTCATTTCCTATTTTTTTTATTTGGAAATAATTGAAAATTAAATGATTTTCGATGAAAATGACACAACAACGAAAATCTATAGCAGCATTATCCGCATGTGTGATATGCGACACTTTCCTTTTTTCCTTTTGTTTAATCAAATTGCGCCAAGTCTCCAACTATAATTTGATAAATATAAATATTTAATTAGAACTGCCATTCATGTAGTATACAATTGATATTAATTTTTTTATATATTAGCTTCAATACCAATCCTTAGAATAAAATTCACATATTCTGCCACGTACATTAGATATATATATGGAGAGAGAGAGATGGTATAATGATTAATGCTTAGCACATTACATTAATGATTAATGTCGGTGTGTGTGTGGGCGAGGGAGAGAGAGAGAGATTCTTTCATATGCTTTGGTCTTGCCGACACTCGGAACTGACCAAAAGGAAAAAAAAAGGAGAATAGGCAAAATAAATGGGTTTTATTTTATTTTCCACTGTATGTTTTTAAGAGAATGAAATATTTTTAGCTCTGAACAATGTAAATATTTTCATTATTTTAATATAAAGACTAAATATTGACCTATCAAGTGTAATTAATTACCTATCAATTGTGCATTACCTTTTATTTTTCTTAAAATTTTCTTTAACTTCATTCTTTTTTCCTATTGTTTCCTTTTTTGTCGACTCTGTTTCTTATATAATCTTTTTAAATTTATTTGTACACGAAGATTAACTAATTTTACTATTTATGAATAGACGTCCTGATTTTTAAAATTCCAAGTGCTAAATACTAAAATTTGATCCTGATTTAAGGATAAATCTTTTCATGACATTTGCTACATTCAATAATAATAGGATAATTAATATTTAAATTATTAATTTTAGATATTTGTATTTGTTTTTAACAGAGAAAGTAATGATCCTTGAAATTCATATATATATACACACACACAGAATTTATAAAATAACCCACATATCTATATGTAGAGTAGTATAAAAGATGTATAAAAATATGTAGGTCCACTTATCAGATCTGAAAGGCAAAATTTCTAAAATGCACGACCTGGGTCGCATGAATTTCAGGCGTACACCAGCAAAACAAGGACGGGAAATTTTAACAAATTGTACACCATTATTTTATCAAAATTACTTAAATATCCCTGTTTTGAAAAAGTCAAAAATACCCTCAAAAATGAAATTAAACACACGTGGACTTTTTATTTGAAAAAGCACTTTTGCCCCGAAACTCTCGTCCGTCATCTCTCCCCTTCGCTTCCTGTTATATCGTTCCCTTTAGGGCACCTCCATTGTTACAGATTTTTGAGCTTTTGGAGCGATTTTTGCGTCGTTTTTTTGGGGCGATTGATGGAAAAATCTGCTTATAAGGTACAATAGCTATAAATCCTAATCAATTTCGTCTATTATCATTCCATTTTTAAAATTATATGCTTTGATATGGGTGTAGGGTATGAAATCCGAAAACTGATTTTGGGTTTAGGAAATGATGAATGTTGTTGGTTTTTACAGAAAAATGGATGGTATTGAAGATTTGTATACATGTGTGTGTGTAAGGTATGATGGTATTTGGGAAAGAAATGAAGATGGATTGTATGAATGGAAAAGAGATGAAGATAAAACCAAGACAATATGCATTTGTAACAAAGCAAGTGAAGTGACACTTGATGAGCTTATGAGAAGTGTCTGTTGTCAGCTAAATGTTAGCTTCGGAAGAG